CTTTGATGCATTGATGGTGGCGCTCTACCGGCTGGAGGAGGCGCGTACGGAATGCTACGCTCTGAAGAGAAAGGCTGCCGCCCATGATCGGGAGCTGGAGGCAGCAGCAGCAGCTCGTCGGTTTGCCGAAACTGGGGCTTCGAGCTTGTCACGGCTGCCGGCACCAGCGGGCACCGCATTAGTGGGGGGGTTTGAAATGGAGTCTCGTGCCTACGAGGTATACCTGACTGCTCTGCAGGAGCAGCGGCGCCTGCTGCTCCTGCTTAAGTCCATGTGGGGTGTACACGCCGTTCTGCTGCGGCTTTCTCAGGAACGCCACGCGGAACAGTACGCGGAACGACCGCTTAGTCTCTTCGTTGCACACAACGTATCGCTGCATCAGTGGGTGGATGCAAACAGTGCCCGGCCGACGCGGCACACTGCTGTCTTCTATGCACTCCCGCCGCACCGCAGCAATGAGTTGCCGTACGAGCAGCTGGAGGCCGTGCTAATTGCCAAGGCGAAGATGAGCGGCAGCACATTTGATGTTATCGACCTGCGCCCGCTGGCAGCCGGTGGGGCGCAACTTAGCGGCGGCGCCGTTCGATTCTCTGCGAATGGAGAGTTCATGTATGTCTGCTGTGGTACTACCGGCTGCGATGCGGAAGTGCGTGCGTCGACGTTGCGTATAGTAGACGCGCTGCGCAGTGGCCTGGGCGTTTCATCGTCCAACTGCTTCTGCTACTACGCGTCCCCGGATGCTGCCGCTACTGGGGGTGGGCTTGGATGGGCCGCTGTGGGGATTTGTGCGTGGGCGCTGGACGAGATGTCCTTCGACTCCGCTGCGGAGCGGCAGCGCTTCGTGTCGCACCTGCGCGAAGCGTACCGCACCTCTCTTCACCTCACACGCGCGGATGTGCAGAACTTCGCTGGTGAATGCGTAGAGATTGTCTCGCGGTCGCCGAGGCACGGCTCACCCAAGCGGCAGCTCGTCATCTCTTCGGGCGCTCTCCGCGCCCTCTCGGAGGACAACCGCGCGGCGTTGACGGCGTGGTACAACAACGGTGGCTGCGTCGTGCCGGATGTGACGACGGTTGAGCGCGTTGGTGGCTACTCGGTGGCGTCGATGATGATTGCCGTCGTGACGCATGGAGCAGAGACGCCGCCGCCAACCGCCCGCGGGCTTCTCGCATCCAGCGGCATCGGGCAGTGTGAATGAGCGGGTGGTGCGAGGTGTGGCTGCTGCTGATTTTGTTGCTGCCGCTTTCGCCACTTTATCCCTGCGGCGTTGTTTTGGTGTATGACGTCGGTGGATGTGTGAAGAAGGGGGACGGAGTGAGCCTGCTGGCTCATCCCTCTTGCGATACGTGCATATATATATATATATATATATGTCTGTGCGAGGGTGTGTTTTCTTTTTTCCTTTGTTTTCTTTGTTGGCGTGGTCGCGTCGGCCTCTGACGACGAAGACTGCCATCTGCGGATGGGCATCCAGAATGATGGGGGGCGGGGTTGCGTGTTCGTACACCATGCTCACCCCCCCGTCTGTGGATACATAAGCCCACCAATATCTCCCCTGACGCGCTGCTCTTTGTTCTTTCGGGGGTTTCCTCCCTCTTCTTGCAGTGGCCATCCAACGCCCCAGTAGCTAGGTATCACTGTAAAGCGCCCAGTGCACGTCTCTGGCGGAGAGTGTTTGACGATCGTCGCCCCGTATACGTATAGACACAGCGAGCTGTTGGTGTGTGTGCAGGTAAGGTGGAGACATGAGTGAGGTGCTTCTTGTCGTCCCCGCACCGCTGGTAGGGGCAGCAGGTGAGTCGGTGAGCCTTTTTTCCACCTTCTCCTCCCAGGTGGGCAGTGCTGCGTCTACGAGTGCGGGTGGCGCGCCGGACTGCCATGAGTCACCCGCCGCACTCTCGCTGCTGCAGGAGCAGGAGAGACACCAGCGCGCTGCACTGATGCTCGAGTTTGAGACGGCTTGCGCGGCAGTGCTCAAGTGGCGCGGCGCGATGGAGGTGCATCAGGCAAAGCAGCTGTTGCGCCGCCGCGCTGACGAAGTCTCAATGCAGGAGGCCGTGCTGCAGCACCGCATGTTCCGCCTTGCTCACCTGGAGCAGCGCTTCGGTATGCTTCCTGCTGGTGGTAGCCTCAGCTGCCGCGCGCTGCTGCAGGATGAGTTCTTTGAGCGGGAGTACGTCGCCCTGCAGCAGACACGGGAGATGTCCACGATTTGGCTCGAGTACATGTCGATGCGCCTGCGAGTTGACGCGACTGCCGCCGTCACCCCACCTGCGCTCCCGCAGCCCACATACATGGCCACAGATGAACGGTACAATTCTGTGCGCTCGCGACTCACACGTGTGCGGCGTCAGCTTGCGCACGTCTGCGACGCGGCGGAGGTGCTGAGCTTCACTCTCGACCATGAGGTGACGCAGGGGCTGCGTGCCACCGTGAGTAGTAGTGACAACAGCAGCAGCAACCACACGACGTACCCCGTTGCGGTGATGCAGTCTGCAGTGCAGCAGATTGATGAACTGCGTGGCCGCCTCTACACGGTGACGGAAAAGCAGCGCGAGACGGAGCAGATGCTGAGGAGTACCAGGCGAATGCTCACAGAGGAGAAGGAGCGCGCAGCCCAACTCCAGCGTGTTGCAGACGCAACAGAGGAGGCAGCAGCAGAGGTGGCGTCGCAGTGTCACCTTCGCCTTCCCAAACGTGAGCCACACGTGCAGCACGATGGGGCCCCGGAGGCTCAGCAGGAAGCCGCTCCAGAGACGTACACGACAAGGGTGTTGCAGGAGCTCCGCCGCACTGCAGTGACACTGGCGAAAGAGGTGGAGTGGCAGGGTGAGAGAATACAGCGGGAACTGCGGGGACGTGACGCCGTACTTGGAGTGGTGTGCGACAAGGTTGCGCAGTTGTCGGAACTCGTGCATCAGACCCGGGGCGTGGATAAGGAAGCGACGAGTGGGAGCGTCAAAATTGGGAATATTGCCGTGGTGCTGGATGATGCCATCGCGGGCCTGCTTTGCTTGAGGAACAATAAGAGTAGCATGAATCAAGTGGGTGCCCAGACGTTGCCTCAGCCTCTACCCGAAAACGCGGAGATCGCTTCACTGAAAGAGATGGTGGCGAACATGCGGGCAACAATCGAGTTCCTTTCGCGCGAGAAGAGCGAGAAGGATGTTAACACTAATAATGCCTCGTCTGTCATGCGCCACGTACCGGACACCGACTATAGCACGGACGTCCTGACGATGGCGCTGCGCCGTCTCGAGGAGGAGCGGAGTGAGAAGCTCCAACTGGAGCGCGTTCTCGAGGAGCGGCGGGGCCGCCAACCGTCGCGTGGGGGCCCTTCGTCTTTGCTTGGCCCCGCTGCTGCTGCTGGTGATGCCGGGGTTAGCCACGAGGACACGTTGATTCAGTCCGTTCACCGTCTCCGGGAGGCCAATACACTCCTGCAGGACGAACTGAAGCTGGAGCGTGAGGCGGTAGAGTCGTTGCGAGTGAAACTCGGCGATGCGGAGCGGTTTATGCGGGAGCTGCAGAAGCAATGCCGCCGCCTGCGCCAGAGTGGCCGCTTCGACACTTACGAAGTCGTCGAGCAATCCGGAAGTGACGAGGACGACGACGATGACGATGACAGCGGCACCGACAGCGAGGGCGATGGGGGTGGCGCTCCTGCTCCGAGGGACGGACGCGTGGAAGACGCTCTGGGAGGCGTCCCGTTAAGCAACGAGTGGTGGGCCGGACGCCGCCACCGCAGCAGCAGCAGCAGCATCAGTGGCAGCAACAACAGCAAGGACAAGGACGAGCTTGCTCCTAGTAACGCCCCCTTCTCCGGTTCGTCGCCGTCGAGTGCCGCCTCGTGTTCGTTGGCGTCGCTGCACCAAATTGCACAGCCACTCTTCCTGCTGCCGCGGGAGCAGCAGCGCACATGCCTGCGGGACCAGCGACAGCTTGCGGCGACGCTGCGTGGCGTGCACGGCCTTTTCGTCTGCACGCTCGCCATGAGCAAGGAGCGGCATCGGTCTCGGTGTGACTTGCACGACGTCGCGAACGCTTTCGTCGGCTGTGGTGTCTCGCTGCACGCATTCTTCAGAACCACCGGCCCGTCTGCGCAGCTGGCGCGCCACGTGGCAGTGCTGTACCCGCTCCCGCCCGCGTTGGCACACCGGCTGCCCGCGGCCCAGCTGCTGCAACGCCTCAAACGCTGCCAAACAGCGCCGCACCGCGGCACGAGCATCAGGAGTAATGAAAGCGCTGGCGTCGTGCAGCTATTCGATCTTCGCGAGGAGCTCCAATCCGCCGGGAAGTATCTGCGCGGCTGCATGGATCTGTGCCTCTCACAGGACGGCCGGTTTCTCTATGCGCTGACCTCCGCCGACGCCGATGCCGTGGCGCGACTGTGCGCACCGGATTGCCTCGACATTCCCGCGAATCGCCGCTTCCGCTTTTGCAGCTCACTTGTGGAAGGGAAGGCGGGCACTGGAGGGAGGAGCAACAGTAACAGCACCGGTGAGGCCGACGGGGCGCTGCCGATGGACATGCTGGGCTGGTGCGGGCGTGGTGGAATCTGCGCGTGGGCGATGGAATGCATGCACTTTGAAACCCCGGCGGAGGAGCTGCGGTTCGAGCGGCACCTGCGCAGCGAGTACCGCCTCGTCATGCGCTTGACTGCGAAGGAGGTGCGGAGCTTCGTTGGCGGCAGTGTGGAGCTGTTGGGCCTGACGCCTGTCGGCAAGGTGGTGCCGCGACTGTTCATGTCCGTTGCCGCCTTCGAGGCGCTCACGCCGGGGCACCGTGTGCAGCTGTTGCAGTGGTACGGCGGACAGCAGGGCGTCTCGGTGCTGAGCGTTGGTAACATAGAGCGTCTGACGGGCGCCCCGCTCCGACGCTTCATTGCCGTGGTGCAGTGGCACGGCCGCGTGCCGCTGTCCAAAACGCCACCGCAAGAGACACTCAAGCTGTTTGGTATTCAAAAGAGCTAGGGACAGTAATAGTCGAGATACTGTACTGCTATATCGTAATGAGTATGTAGTAATTCTTATGTTATAGTGCTATTTGCGTTTAAAAAAAAATCCTGCGTGTGTTTTTATCATTTTGCCCTCATTCGTCTTGCTTATTTACTGAGGTTGTCGTTGTTGTTTCGTGACGCCGTCAGGTGGCTTCTCTCCGGCCCTTTTCGTTGCTTATTTGTGTCACCCCTAGCACGCCGGCGCGAGGGGAGCATTATTGCTTGCCCTTTCACACACTTCTTGAACTAGGTGCCAGCTGGAGCTCATGGCAACCAACGAGGTGCTTCTGCAGATCTTCACCAGCACCCTCTCCCCCGACAAGGTCCGCCGCGAGCAGGCGGAGGCGGCCCTTACACAAATCTCCGCGGATCCACAACTGATCGTTCAGATCATCCACTTCGCATGCCAGCAGCTCCCGCAGGACGTTGGCGCGGAGGTGCACCACGCGCAGCACGCTGCCGCCATTCGTGTGCGCAACGTACTAGGGCGCAGCGACTGGAACCGCCAGTCGTACTTCACCGCCGACGTGAAGGCGGCGGTGCGCGGGTGCATTGTTCCGCTGCAGTGTGAACCGCATGTGTCAGAGCGAATTCGCCGGCAGCTGCTCGCCACCACACAGGAGCTCGTCAGTTACGATTTTCCGCGGCAGTGGCCGACCCTGATGCCGCAGCTCACGTCTATACTCGACGCGTCTGTGGTGAACCTTCGCGTCGCGGCAGACGTGTCGCAGGTGCGGGAGGCTGCGACGCTGCGGCTCAAGGGTGCCCTCGGCGTGCTACGTGCCTGCTGCAAGTACTACCAGAACCCCATGACCATGGAGGCTGATACCATGGATGAGTTTGCCGACTCCCTCTGCCCGTCGCTGGTGTCTCTCATAGAGCTGCTGGTGGGCGTCTGGACGCAGGAGCTGATGGTGCAGCAGCAGCAGCAGCAACAACAACAACAAGGAAATGATGGCATCGGTGGTTCCTGTGGGAATGGGCCCATCTCATTCACAGTCTCTGCGTGGCACACGGAACTCTCGCATTGCCTGCGCATTGCCCTAAAGTGTATTGATTCCCTCGTCAGTGTCCGCTGGCCACAGTACCTCTGTGACCTAAATGCGGTGGATCGTTTGTGCCAAGGTTGCATTGGACAGCTGCTCGACGCAACGCACGCGACACTTCTCCCACTCTACCGCCAACGCATTCCCGTCAATGATGGCGATGATTCCGACATGTTCTCATTGTTTCACGAGTCGGCAGTGTGGAAGCTTCTGAAGTGGGTGGAATGCTTGTGCCACACGCTTCTGAAGGAACTCATGTTCCCCAAGGAGTGTGAGCGCCGCGCACAAGCGGCAGCCAGACACTTCTGCGAACACCACCTGCTGCGGATTGTGCAGCAGGCACTCGACCTTGTGCGGTGGCACGCGGCCCCGCGGCTCCTCACTTCGAAGGCGTACATCATGGCACTCGAGATCCTCACGTTCGCAGTGAACAGGCGGGCGGCGTACCGCGACATCATCGCCCCACACGTGGAGGAGCTCATCAAGGGCCTCATCTTCCCCCGCCTTGCCTTCTCTGCGCAGGACGCGGAGATATGGGAGCTTAACCCCGTCGAGTTCGTGCGGCAGCAGACAAGCCCCACGGGAGACCTGTTCAACGCAAAGGTGGTCTCCGTGGGTCTTCTTATGTCGCTCACGGTGCCGACAAAGTCGTTTCACAACGCGGCGATGATGAACGATGTCATGCAGTACGTGCTGCAGCAGCTCGCAACCCATGTGGAGGCGGCGTCGCGTGGGGACCTGGCGGCTGCTCGCGTCGTGGACGCCGCGCTCTTCACCGTCTACCACTTGAACAAGACCCTCGCCGCGATGGACCTGGGTGACGATAGGGTGGAGTGGGTGCTCACCAGCTACGTGTTGCCTGTGGCGAGGGGCCCGATCGGATTCCTGCGTGCTCGCAGTGTGCTCGTGCTGAGCGTGCTCGCGCCCAAGATACGGTGGAGCAGCCCACAGAGTTTTCAGAACGTCCTCGCGGCGGTGCTGCCGCTCCTGCAGGACGCGGAGATGCCGGTGCGCATTCAGACATGCACGTCGCTGGCGCCGCTCATATGTCACCGCTACGCGCGGGACGTTGTCACACCGTGCATCGGCGACATTATTCAGCATTACTTCAGCGCCATGCACCTCATGGACAACGAGGGGGTCGTGCGTACGCTGCGCAGGACAATGAAGCATTACCGTGACAGTCTCTCGCAGTGGGCACTGCAGCTCACCGATATGCTGGTACACCACTTTGAGCAGGTGCTGCGGCGCACCATAGCCGCGGAGCACAATGATGACGCCATGCCGACGACGTTTAGCTTCGACAAGAGTGCAGATAAGCATGACCCGCTCAATGGCGATGATGGCGGTGTTACCGACTCCATCATGGTCGCCGACGAAATTCTGGAGACCCTCACAACACTCGTGCTTGCACTTCCTCACCACAGCAATACTGTGTCCGCAGCGCAGATGGAAGGCAACCTGCTGCTGCAGATTCAGCAGCGCACCGCGCCTTTATTGTTCGCCGTGCTCTCCAAGGAGTGTGGAAGCAGCTTCGGCTTCATGGATGCCGCGCTGAAGCTGCTTACCACAATGCTCTCTCAGAGCTCTGCCGTGGCGCCACCCACGTGGCGGCTGCTTCTGTGTCTCCACCGCCTCGTGGTGGAGGGTGCAGTCGACTACTTTGACGAGATGCTGCCCCCGCTAGACAACTACGTTTGTGTGGCTCCCGCGCTTTTCCTTCTATCTCCCATGAACGATCTGTGCGAGGTGCCGGAGTTCGCTGTGAATCTCGCTTCCGTGACACCGGCTCAGGTCGTCAGCACAATGTGTGACGCAGTGCTGAACAGCAGTGATGCCCTGAGCATGCGCGAGGTCTCTGCCGTCCCTAAGGTGTACGACTCCATCCTCCAGAACTTGTGGCAGCTCGAGCAGCAGAATGAGAGCCGCGCAATGACAACAACAGTAGCAAACAGTCTCGTTGAGTACATTACACAGACTGTGCTGCGGGTGCTAAATGACTTATCCGGCCGGAAGAAGCGTCACCGCACATTAACTGTGTTGTTTGCCAACAGCATCCTTTCTGCGGTGTTGGCAAACACTGCTCTCACTGTCGCGACGCTCACTGCCTCCGGCGCCCTCTTGCCGTTCTTCGTTCATTACATTCAGCTGGTGCAAGGAGAGGCGATGCAGACAATGCTGCGCTCTTACGATCACCGTCTGTTTGTGATGGCCATTGCGGCGCTTGTGCGGCTGCTGGCTGGACAAGCGGAGCTGGTGTGCGGTGTGGATGAGGCGCTGTGCCATGTGCTGCAGAGCGGTGTGTTGTTAACTTACAGCCAGAAGGAAGGAAATCTCGCTGCAATGGAGCTGAAGAGACGGTCAGCGCCCCACGGTGCCAACGGCGACGACGAGGAGGCGGAGGAGTGGAGCGATGATGATGACGACAGTGACGACGATGACGACGGTGATGATGATGATGAGGAGGAGGATGGTATGGACTCTGAATGGGACGACGAGGATGAGGATGAGGACGAGGATGCACCTGGGGATGCGTCCGCGTTGGCAAACAGCAGTCACTTGCAGGCGCTACTCATGGCAACACGCGATGCGCGTCTCAGATCGGCTTCCGCTGGTGAAGGGGACGACGTGGATGATGATGATGATGAAGAGAATCTTCTTGATGAGAACGACTTCGTGAGCCCTATTGACACGTGCAACGCGTGGTCCGTGCTGCTGGACACTGTTAATCACACGGCTGCTACTGCCACTGCTCTAGCGGGTTCATCCACGCGTTTCTTCCAGCTTCTGAAAGACGCCGCCGCCCAACAGCAACTGGAGTCGATTCTGCAAGTGAGTAGCATGATGGGGCGACTCATGGAGGCCCGCAAGAAGCGGCACACGACTGCTGCTGCTGGAGCTACTGATGCTGCAGAACCATCCCCTAACGCGTAACGACTTGAGGTCTTCTGAGGTACATGCCAGTATGGTTTTTAAGTGTTTGATAGGCAAGGCGAGACGAAAGCGAAGGAGTGGGAACCATAATAAGTGTGTGCATTCTATTCCGGTACTCCTGTAGCATGCGGGTGGGAAGTCCTTTTTTTTTCTTGTTTTCTTTCTCTTTGTGTGTGTTGCTAGTGCCGTATGCTTCTGTTTTTTTTTTTTTCTTCTTTGCTCTTATTTTTGAATGCCACCCCGCTCATTTGGGGCGGGAGCGAAGGAAGATAAGGAAGAGCATCAAACAATAAGAAGTCAGCAAGGCCCTTCCTCTCCAGAAGTCTCACGCCTTCTGCCGCGGGTTGTGAACAGTTCTTTTTCATTTCGTTCTCGCTCACCTGGAATATATATACAAACACACACATATATATATATATAGTGACGGGTCCATGTGGCTGTCAAGCCCAACGTGTCTTCAACGCTTCTCTCGGATGCTGGAACGTTGGATCGGGCTTGGCATCACCATCGTTCTCATTCTGGGCTGTAGCCTCGTGATGCTGTTGCACCTGCACATCCCTGTGTTGAGTGCCTCGCCGTCCATCGTGGATGTTCTCCTCACTACGCTGTTTCTGCTGGCGCTAACTATGACACTGCTGTCGCTGTTTGCCGTTGCCGCCGTTGACCCGGGGACGGTGCCACGGTGGTTTGGTGAGGCCCGCATTGAGGAGTTTGTGCGCGAGGTGCTGGCGGAGGTCGTGCGGCAGGGCGGCGCAAAGGCGACAGATAAAGCCAGTGCAACAGGCAACGACATGGACAGTGGCAGCGGCAGTGGGATGGGAAGAGCTAGCCAGGGCCTTGCAAGACAGCAACAGGTGTGGCTGGCGGAGAATGCGCAAAATGCCAACCAAGCACTCGAAGCGGCGCAGGAAATGCGAATGGGACATGGTAGAAATGATGGCGTCAGCAATGTGCCGATCTCCGTTGAGGTTGCAGAGGATGCCGATGATGATGATGATGTTTTGGTTGTGGAACGTCAGCAACAGAGACAAACGCTGGCGGGAGGCTTAGTTCGAAATCGTCGTCGTGAGAGGCAGGACGACTCGAAGGAGCTGTGGATGCCGCACAGGAATGTGTTCCTGGTGGCCGCCGACGCTCTTGTCGCACTGAACCGCTCTCCCGAAAGCTTCGAGCAGGAAGTGTCGTTCCTGCTTGGCGGCGCCCGCCGCTGCCGCTTCTGCCGCCTCTACAAACTAATGGAGACACACCACTGCTCGCGCTGCCGTCGCTGCGTGTACCAGATGGATCACCACTGCCCGTGGATCGGCCAATGCGTGGGCCACGACAACCACAAATACTTCCTCCTGTTTATCGCCTACCTTACCGTCACCGCGGGTGTGGCAACGCTGCACGTTGTGGTTACGGCGCGGGCTGGGCGCGTGAATCTCGTTGCTGAGAGTTTATCGCCCTTGTTCCTCTTTTCGCTCATCCTGGCCGGCTCATTCGCGCTGGTGCTATTCGCCTTTTTCGTGCAGGACATCTGGAACCTGGGGAGGGGACAGTCAACGCTGGAATTGCTGCGGCGCGAGGAGCGAGGCATCCGGGCGCAGCGGCGTCGTGGGCCGTACGCGATGCTGCTGGAGGACGAAGATGAGAGCGGATCAGGGATGCGCCGCTGCAGTTCTCGGAATTTTCGCCGCGTGTATGGTGGCGGCGCGGTGCTGCCGTGGTGGTTCCTGCCAGTGCCCCCACAGCACCCGTCGCCGCGGGAGCAGGAGGAGGCGTTCTGGGCCACACACCGCGCACTGCTGCTGCACCAGCTGCGCGCAATTGCGGACGCGGAGCAGGAAGGGGGCGGCGGCGAGGAGGAGGAGGAGGAGGGGGAAGCATAAAACCAGCCGCGCAGCCTCACGGTTTGTTGCGGACGCAAACACCCACAAAAACAACAAAACAAACGGAAACGGCCCAGAACGTCAAATGAAACAGGAAGAAGCAAAGGAAACCCATCGTCGGAACGACAGCGAAGAGCAGAAGAAAATGCGAATGGGACGCGTCCAAGAACAGTGGCATTTCCTCCATTGGAGACAGAACATGAGATTTGGGAGTGGGAGGACTTATCGTTACTCCATGAGGTTGCTGTGTGTGTGTTTGTGTGTGTGGAGGTGCCGTGGTTGAACGGTGCGACAAGAGTTGTATTTTGTGTATCACACCTAGGTGCGGGGATGTGCATGGCTGCGTGAGGGCGGAGGGAGGAGGGGGCGTGCGAAACTGAGGGGGCTGAGTTATTGTTCTTCTGTTTGTTTCGTTGCACAGCAACCGCAACACGTCTTCTTTTGGAGTGTGCAGTGCGTGGGCTGCCGTACAACTGCTGTGTGTTGCTTCGCGNGTTGCACAGCAACCGCAACACGTCTTCTTTTGGAGTGTGCAGTGCGTGGGCTGCCGTACAACTGCTGTGTGTTGCTTCGCGACACGCATCTTATATATTTGGCTCGGCGCACCCCCTCCCCCTCACTTTATCTCTCTCTCTTTCACACACACACGCACACACAAACACACTTCCACACACCACTGCGGAAGGCAGGAAGCCACACCTACACACATCGCCTAATAGAATACACACCCGTCTTTCTTGTTGTTTATTTCTCACCCACGAGAGTAAGCGAAGACAGAAGACACACTCATACCCCCCGGATTCCACGCTCACAGTGATCGCGGCGTACTCATTTTACATCGAATATTGGGGTGAAGGAAGCAATAGGTTGAAAACAAGAAGGAAAATCAGAGAACAGAGGGGGAACAGACAATGCCACTCCACAGCGTTATTGCATCATTTGTTGACCAGGGCTCCGACACCATCACGGCCTCTGTGCTCTCTTGCTTAGCGTCCAGCCTCAATGAGCCCGGTGTCGCGCAGGCACTCATAGAGCGGCACCGGCCCGTCTGCAAGGATGTAATGTCGCGGCTCGTGGCCGTCGCCAACGACAATGGCAAGAACCCCAACGCACGCATTATGGCACTGGAGTGCCTCTATGCCTTGTCGCATGTCCCCAACAGTGAATTTCGCTGCGGGGATCTCCTCGACGCTGTCCAGAAGCTGAATGAATCGTTTGAGGAGTTTTTAGAGACGCAGGCAACAACGGCTGTTGATCAGCAACACGAAATGCTGACGGTGCTTCTATTCCGCTGCAGCGGTTACACGGGGCTCAAGGCAGGTGATTTGCTGCAGCAGCTGTACAGCGGCGACGACACACGCCTCGTCTTCACACTGCAGACGATCATCCAGAATCGCTCCCTTGAGTGGGAAATTGTGCACGCCTCTGTTCGCTGCATGTACGAACTGACAACACCTGTCAGCTACTTTGCCGCCCCTGACGAGGACCACCCCGTCGAGACGACAAAGATAACCGCCTTTCAGGACAAAATCACGGTGTTGCTCATACACCTATCGCAACGCACCGCGCTGCGTGATTTATTCAACGAACTCAGCGCACGTTGGGCCCTTGCCATGGCTGACGGCCAACTTGCCCCGATCTTGGAGGGCCAGGCGCCCGTAACCCCTGCCGTGCGCGACGGTCCGGCGATGAACTTCTTGGTGGTGTTCCGCTACGTGGCAGCGATGCTACTGAATGTTGCCGACTTCTGCGAGCGTATGGAACTCGTGCGCAGCTACCAAGAGTCTTTTATCGTGCAGCACCAGAGCTTCCTCGGCGGAACACTGATTCCTTTCGTGCGCCTCGCCCTCCGCTGCTGGGAGTCTACAAAAGATACCACACACGAGTCGCAGAATAATCTCTTCATGAACGTCGCCATCGCGGCGATGCGGCTGTTGCGCTTTGCTCTCTACCGTGTCTCGCAGGAGCTGCAGCAACCACTCGCCGCAGCGCTGGCGGCGCTGGCACGGCACGTGCAGGCGCTGGAGCCGCAGCTCTGCACAGAGTACGTTGGCATGCTCGTGCTTGTGCTTGCAGTGGAGGCATTGTGCAACGCGAACGCCGCCAACGTCCCCGCCATCGCACCAGACTTTACCGCGCTGGTGGCACAGATATCAACCGACAAGAACCCGCTTCGCCCAGGTGCTCAGTTCACAGCGGCGCAGGCATTCACGTACTGCCTCGCAAACGAGACTTCGACGTACTGCACGCCTGACAACGAGTCCGTCGCGTTGCTGCGGCAGAAGCTGCACGACGAGGACGCGGAGACGATCAACGAAGCCACAATGGCCATTCAGGCACTGGAGGAGCAGCTCGGCATGCTGCAGTCGCTCATGATGGAGCTGGCGCTGGGGCAACTGCTTGGTGATCTCTGCCTGCTCGTTCCATTCGGGGCAGCGCCCGACGGCAGCGGGGGCACCACTGCACCCCCGCACGCCGCAAAGGTGGGTAGTGCCCATGAGGACGCGAACGAACAAGTGCAGAAACAGAAGAAAACGAAGAAGACAAAGCATCCGGCTAACTATGTGTGCATGTTGACGAAGAAGCTGATGCGGGAGCCAGTGGTGCTGCGCAACGGCCACCACTTTGAGCTCGACGCTCTGCAGGAGGTAGTAGACCGCGTCGGCCACGTTGACCCGCTCACCGGCGAGGCATTTCAGGACGAGCTGCAAGTGGACATGAATCTGCAGCAGGAGATTGCACGGTACCGGGTGGAGATGGCTGCGCGCGGGAAGACGGAGGCGTGACACACGGGCACACCCATGCAGGCACAAGACATGATACACAACGCTCATTTGCATGCACTGAAACAAACACACGCACACCGATATATATATATATTTATTTATACATATCGCAAGAGGAATGGGATTTGCTGAAGGATGTTTGTGCTGCGGTTACGTGTAAATGTCTTTCCCCACTGTTTCGCAATCTCCACGCGAGTGAAGTGCAATTGAATGTTTTTTTGTTTGGTTGTTTTCATTTAGTTTTCATGTTTTTTTTTTTTTTGTTTTGTTTTTATTGTGTTTTTCCCGTGTTAGTTTGTTTGTTGATTGTTTTATTGTCTTGTTTACCCGACGGATGGGCTAACAGCGGCGGGGCGGTGATGGCGGCGGGGCGTTGGGGCGAGGGTCCATGCGGGGACCGGAACACAAAGCAACGAGAGAAAACAAAAACAAAAGACCACAGAGAGAGAGTGTGTGTGAGAGAGAGAGAGAGAGGAGGGGGAAAGCAGCAGAGAAAAAAAACACAACAACAACAACAACAACAACAACAACGAAAGAAAAAAAAAAAGGGCACAAAAGAGGAACAATAACCCCTCGATAGCAACGAAGACAAAGGAAGGGAAATTAAGAAAGGAGTAGTCGAGGGCGAAGGATGATAAAAAAAAAAAAAAGGAAGACAGAAAGAGAGGAAGAACAAAATGAGGGAAAGGAAGAAGGAGCGATAGCCGGAAGGGGGTATAACGGTGAGATACACTGGCAGAGAGAACAGAGAGAGGGAGAACAGAGATGATGATTAGTGGACGACCGGAGATGTGACATCGTGTGAACAGAAACGACACAAAAGGAAAGAAAAGAGAGGTACGATAAGGCGGTCAGGCGCATCTTGGTGGCGGTGGGTGGGCGAAATTCCACACTACGTGTCGTCCGTATATATCGACGCATGTGCGTGTTTTCCTTGCTGCGTACTGCCGCTGCTGCTGGTTTCTGTGTGGCGGCTGTTGGTGGTGGCGGCGCGGCTCTGCGTTGTGCCTCTTGTCTGTGCACCCCACGCGTATTCGTCTCCCCACGCCCACCCTTCACTCGGACACCCAGCAGCAGCAGCAGCAGCAGCGACAAGGCGGAATAAAACATGGATACGGGGGAAGCCTTGCTGTACAGCGGGGAAGCGCACAGCGGCGTGGTCGTTATTCTTCACCTTTTAAAACATTTTTTTTTGTCTTTTCGTTCCGTGTGTATTCTTGGTGGGAGAGGGACACACACACACACACGCAGAGAGACAGACACAGACAGCGAGACAGAGGTGCCGTTTCTGCGCCTTGTGGCGGTGGTGCTCTTTCTTNGTCGTTATTCTTCACCTTTTAAAACATTTTTTTTTGTCTTTTCGTTCCGTGTGTATTCTTGGTGGGAGAGGGACACACACACACACACACACACACACGCAGAGAGACAGACACAGACAGCGAGACAGAGGTGCCGTTTCTGCGCCTTGTGGCGGTGGTGCTCTTTCTTTGGGGAATTGTACTAGGACTACGGGATGCGAAGAATACACACGACACCCCTCCCCCTCCCTTAAGTCTGCAGAAGCACAAACGCAGAGAGAGAGAGAGAGAGAGAGAGAGAGAGAGAAAACGACCGCCAAGTCGTTCTCCCTTCCTCTCTCTGCCTGATCACGGCAGCCCGCTTCGTTTCTTCAAGTCGTCCATCACGTATGCATCGGGGGATGCGTACATCTCACGCACGCATACAACAACGCCGCGGGCGGCTACCAGAACGCGTACACGCATGTAAACCTTTGAACATGCCTGCTGTTGGCTGGCCTTCTCTCCTTTCCGGCAGGCACATCTGTCCCCTCCTCCTTCTTTGTTTTTGTTGTCCTCCACCGCCGCGTTGCTGTGGCACTGGAAGAATACAGTTAGCTCTTAAAATTGAGACAGGACAGGTGTGGGAACGGCGCTTCACACTTTTGGGATATATAGGCAGCAGTACGGACGGGGCCGACGGAGATCCAGCTACCCACGCAACGCAGGAGAGCACAGAAAGGGTCACACACCCGCCCACACAGCTAAGAAACAAACAAAACAAAGTAAAAAAAAACCCGTAGGTAAAAACAACAACAACAACAACACACGGAAGGAAAACGAAAAGACAAAAAAAAACTATGACGTTGCGCGCCTTCAGTGTTGTTGCTGCTGCGTGGGCCCTTGTGGCGCCGCTGCTGCTGTTGTTGACGACCTCCACGCCTTCCGCACTGGCGGAGGAGGTCCCCAGAATGACGCCGAGCCAGCACCACCGCACATCGGAGCGCGTGATTGAGCACCACTCCTTCACGCCGCCGCTGCTGCGCAACTACTACGGCGAGGACGAGCTCCATCACTGGGCGATCAGCGGCACCACCGTCATAACAGACCAGTACGTCCGCCTCACCGCCGACCGCGGCGGCCAGATTGGCCACCTGTGGAACACCGAGCCAATCGATTTGCCGTCCTTTGAGGTCGTCGTCGGCTTCCACGTGCACGGCAGCGGCAGCGGCGCCGATGGATTTGCACTCTGGATCACCACCGACGTGCCGAAGACGAATGGGCCGCTGATGGGTCGGCCGATGGCCTTCACGGGCCTCGGGTTCGTCTTCGACACGTACGACAATGACGGGCAACGCGACAACCCGGCGGTGTATGTGCTCTACAACGACGGCAGCAAGCCGAACAGGCAGTACAACCCGCAGAATGATTTCAACGGAGAATATGTGGGGAACTGCCAGTACGCCTTCCGCCAGTCGAACGGACTTCTGTCAACTGCACGAGTGCGGTACGAAAATGGCGTGGTGAGTCTCTACCTATCACGTGCCGGCGAGACGGACGAGGTGACATGCACCACAGTCTCCGATGTTCGTCTAGATACGGGAAAGGTAAACTACTACATCGGCTTGAGCGCTGAAACGGGCGGCGTCACGGACAACCACGATATTATATTTCTCCACACCATGCCCATCGAGGGGGTGAAGTACGATCACGATGTCTTCGCAGCACCCAAAACTTCGGAGGAAGGAACGAGGTACCATCATCTCGATCCGCTTCCCGTTCACGTTGATGAGGACGAGGAGCACCACCTGCCA